TATTGATATTTCTAAAATTGATCACCCGTGTAAATATGACTCTTGTAATTATGCTTCGAACATTCCCTCTCCGATGTCCGGTGTTTTTGCCGACATCGTGAGAGAGAGGGTTGTAAACTAATAGTTTCTACGCTCGATATGAAGTCTAGAGGATGTTCTGGAATTTTTGGTCAGAAAACGAGGCGATGTTATTCGACGTCTGGTCTTTATGAGTCATTGTGATTCTCTTTATTGGGTTTAGTTTTTCTGTATGCAGTTTTTAGTTGAGATTTTTTTCTCTCGTAGAAGATCTATGTTTAGTTTCTAGTCAATTCTGGCTATCGATCTATTTGATTTAACTTTTGCAGTTCAAACTTGTTCAACGGCGGTTTCAGTGAAGCTAACTAGGAAAAAATTTGACAAAAGCAATCAAAGAAAGAGATTTATCTAAATTAAAGAATTGCTATCATGTTATCGTGATAGCTTTTGGAAATCCGACTGCTAGTGTGGATTCAAAAACACCTAATTGTCTATCTTCGATCCGAAACAAGATCATCTTGGTATCGCTAATGTGTCGTCAACAATTATTATCTTCATTTTTTTGTGATGCGAAATGACCATTAGTTTTTCTTTGTATTTCATATGTTGAATTTTTTAATTGATGTAATTTATTTTAAATCAGTTTCAATAAAACAAACTGTTAAAAAATATGCTCCGATTAATTTTATTTTATAGTAAGATACACAGTCCCTCCGTTGTTAAAAGATATATTTTTTAGACTTTATTCTTGTACTTGTTTCATAAAGATAGAGTTTTGTATCTTTTGTATTCGTATTTATGAATTAATGATGATGAATTGTAAATTTCAAAACATATTAATTGATTTTATTGAATTATTATTGATTTAGAGTTATGGAAATTTTTTTAGTGAAAAAAAATGTTGTATTTATAATTAAAAACTAAGACATCTAACAAAAAAAAAAGGAGAGAGTATTTCATATAGGTTTTATTAATTTAATATCTAATTAAAAGTAAAACTCAGACATATAACATATAACTTGAAAACACCTTAGGTTACATTAAAACATAAATCATTTACTAAACAATAATTCACAACCACATAAAGTTATACTACTAACTATTATGAGAATAACTAACATTAACAAAATAAAATATATACACATATACATTACTTTGGGTTAAAATAGTTTATCTAGCTTAGGTAGATCTTTTAACGCCACGTTTACCTAGCTTAAGCGAATTTCTTAGGGTCAATTGCTGAAATGGTGTTAAGAAGCACACCAAAAATCTCAATGGTGTTAAAATGTTCTAGATGGTGTTGGTGTGGTGGATTTGTCCTTTCTACCCTTAATGAATCTAATTGTTTTGGTTTGAAAATCAAACAAAAAACCATAAAAAATCAACCCAAAATCGCTGCAATTAATTCGACCCAACCACCTCACCCAACAACCTCAACAACCAATCATAATGTCGGATCTCTCTCTCTTTCCTTCTTGTTTCCTCGTTGCAGACATTCCATCTCTCCTCCTTTCTGTTTCCTCGTTGCAAACCGAACAAAAATTTGCAGGTC